GAAGAGATGAATGCAAAAGGGCTTAAAAAATTCATATCAGAAAATTGCCAGGGCCTCTAACAATAACAGAAGAGGTCCCTGCTTATGAAAGAGGGGTTCATAAGAGAGGAGCTGAAACTTGATCCAAATGATTTCATATTGAGAGGCCCAGTAACTATAAGAGAAGAGGTCTGAACTACTTATGAAAGAGGGGTTCATGAGAGGAGCTGAAACTTATCCCAATGATTTCATGTTGAGAGGATAATATGATGTAAGTGGAGGTTCTCAAAATAGCCATTGTTTCCTTTGGCTTTGATCTCTAAAATATGAATACTGGTAGTTCCATACGGCAGCCATGGCCTTTTTTAAAGAATTTGTTGTAAAAAGCAAGAGCCTTAGTTCCACCGTTAAAGGTTTTAGCAAATGGTAGGAAGAAAATTCTAAATACCGGTAGAAGTCAAACATGTGCAAAAAATTACATATCAAGTTAATATATAATTCAGATATACAGAAAGTTGACAATGCTATTATTCATATTTTTAAAAATTTGAATATTGAGATTCTATTTTGTCAAACATACCCTTAGTGAAAGATATGCCAGAAAATCTTATTTGTTAGTATTCTAATGCGTAAGAGGTTTTCCTTCTTTGGAAAAAGTGTTGAAAGATCTAATGGATATCATTAAATTAAGGGTGTAGTTTCTATAAGGTTGCAACCGTAAACAATTCAATTATAGCACACTTTTAAATTTTATCATAACATGTAATTTTGGTGTAAAACGTTCATAGGATATCTCAAAATCTATTTTCATATCTAATTATAAAGGAAAATTGTTTTATGTGGGATGGACCGCGCATTTCTACATATGAAAAGCGGTCCAGAAAATGTGAAGCATCCACCTTAAAGATGGATACAAGTATGTGTTCTATCTAAAAACAATGGAAACTAACCTTCCAAATGTTTTCTTACTAGAATTATTATTTTTAGCTTTTAAAATTTATTTATTTTTTCATATTCATGATCTTCATGCTAGAGATTACATGTCCTTAAAAATTAAGTCTTACAATCCATCTCAAAAATAGATTTAATAAGGGGCCCGCATTTCTACATATGTCGGCTTGGCAGCATAGAAACCGGATCCAATTATAAAATTTTAAACTCCAAAAATGGTTAAAATCAAATAGACCTATAAATATATGAAATTTTTTAAAATGAACGGTCTAGATAATATGTTGCAAGATGCACTATTTTGGGATTCAAGATCTTTATTTTTTTATTATTTTTTTCATATTCATACATCTTGATGTCGAAATGATCAATTAGAGGATTTTTCAACATCAAACCAACGTTTTCTGATGGATTTTTGAAGTGTATTTTTAATACTATATTTTAAGATTGCAACCTTATATAAACTTTTTCTTTAAATTAAATAAGATCAAAAGATTTTATTTTGCAATGATGACATAATACTTTTTCAAAAGTTTAGGAAAAACATTTATATAAGGTACCAACCTCATATAATAAAAATTAAGTACGCCTAAAAAGGTTGTTGTGATGCTAGAAAATCCCTCAATTGATCATCTCGAGCTATAAAAGTATGGATATAAAAAGACTAAAAAGAAAAAAGAAAAAGGTTTGAAGTCCTAATAATAATGCATCTTATAATACATTATTTAGATGGTCCATTAAGATTTCCAGGTGTTCACATATTTGTAAAATTTACACCATATTTAGAGCATTAACGTTCATAATCAGGGTTTCCAATACTGGAACTACATCTTCTAACGGGGTTTAGAGGCTAAGATTTGATTATTTAAAATTACTTAAGATCGGCACCTTATATAAACTATGCCCTGTTCATGTGGATATTTACAAGGAGCTTGCCGTTCCACTTGCAATATATAATTTAGCACCAATTTGAATGTTATTATCAATCACAATATCAGTGAAAAACTTTCTTATATTCCAAAGAGTAAAGATCCTATAATACCCAACAAAAATTTAGGATACTAGACCAAGGAGATCATGCATAACTCTAGACTCTAGAGGGCCACGATTGCTTTTTAGGAGCTGAAGATCATCTTTGCAGTCAGGGATGTGCTACCAAGGTTTGAGAAGGTAGGTCTCCAATGTTGAATATTTTAGATGGAATATCAGGTAGAACAGCCCCTACCTTAACTATGTAAAAACCATCTTGTACCGTCCATTACTGAATTTACAATCAGTGTATGACCTCGAGTATACTGTACATACATTTTTAATGGTTAGATATAATAACGTTCCAACTTTTATGAATGACACTTAAGTGTATTAGGTAGTGTGCAACCTTGTTGTCCAGTATGGTACAGGTTTGAATCCCTCCATTATCCATTGCCTTTTTTGTTTTTTTTGTTTTTTTGTTTTAAAGAAAAAACATGAGTGATAAATAAATAAATAAAAGTTGAGAAGTGGATTTGATCCCAATACCTCTTGCAAAGAATATTCAATGAGCATGTGCCCTACCCAACCACCAAATAATTTGTCAACAAAATATTATATATATATATATTCTACATAAAAAACATTTAATGTGTCACAAGACGTATCACACATAAGCACCCCCTAAGAGGGGCGAACTGACCATCACAGTACTTGACGCTTAATGTCATAAAAGCGAAGGATATATTATACATATTCTAATTTATGTGTTGATTTTTTATTTTTAAACTCGAGCTCTACTCGGATGAGTTACTTGGACTTACCCGAGTAACTTGGCTCGGCCAAGGGTGAGTACCTTAGACGAGTCGATTTTTTTAACACTATCAACAATATGGGAGCGTAGGGGTGGCAATTGGTTGGGTGGCTTGGCTAGGCCTGGTTACCCTAGCCCTAATAAACTAGGGTCCGAGGGTAGGTTAGGACCGAGCAGGGCCTGGCCTAAGCCAGTCCAGTTTCGTCTGACCCGACTCAGCCTAGCACTTGTTAGGAGGTGCGAGTTAGTTCAGGTGGAAGGCTAAAAACGAGCAAGGGTTGTTACGCTTGATAGAATAGAAGAGCAGACCAATATTTGTGTAACCTACCCCAAATAGTTGGGCATATGCTCTGATGATGATGATTTTTTTTTTTTATTTGGCCCGGCCTAGCATTGCTAGGGCCAGACTTGTGCTAGGGCCTCTTTGGCTCGGTCAATGCTGGGTCAGCTGTGGGCGGGCTCTAGCTCGGTCGTATGTGGACTCGAGCAAGGGCTGACCTACTCAGGCCAGCCATATTGGAGAGATTGTGGGCCCACAAAAACTTGATAAAACCCCAACTGGCAGTTCCATAATCTCTTCAACAGTCTATAGTGATCCTTTGGTATCAAGCTGATATATCCAGATTTACAGGACTCGCCTGAGTCGAGTCCGAATCCACTTGGACTCGAGCGAGCAACTCATCCTCATGCAATGGGTGAGCCTGAATGACCTCGAGTTGCGTGTAAAACTCGGTGTACATAAAAAATTTCAAGAAAAATTTAAAACATTTGTAAATAAAAGTGGGATTGTTCTGTAAATGTTAAATGTATGATTCATAAGTTTTTGGCAAAAACCACAATTTATATTAGTTTGAAATTTTAAAATGTCTTCAACTACATATCAATTTTTTATATTTTCTATAATTTCTAGGATTATTTGGACTTTTACTTTTGAAAATTTATCTAGGGCTTTTGGCAATGTAAGAGACTTGGCTTAGTCCATTCAATTCGCCTTGACCAAGGACCGAGTCCCTTATCTAAGATGCGCGAGTTCACAAAACCTCAATAAGTCTATCACAGTCTAGGTAAAATTTCTTATATCTAAGCATTCTTCACATTAAAAACACCAATATGTAAGTATTCTTTTTTACAGCTATAGCCCATACGAAGGAAAATTTGGGTTTGCTATAGTATATTGACAGTCGCTGCATCGTCAGATGTCAACGACTAACAATTGAGGATATACTTACACATTGTAGGAAACCAAAATGATTGCATAGTATTCTTCAAAAAAAAAATAATGAGTAAACATCAAACACAGAAGCCCACCTAAATTTGTCTCTCTTTTTGTAAAATCATCCTAATAAAAAACCCTTTCTGTCTTTACGCACCATGTGTAACGTCTAAATTTTGCTGGAAGATGTAGTTTTGGTATGACAAAGAAGTAGTTGAAAATCTATGCTCAACTCTAATTATAAAATTTAAAATTTCAAAGAAGGTGCAGATTGAGTAAATCTATAAACATTTGAAAATTTTGAAAATAGAAAGTCTAGATAACTTATCACATGATATAATAGTTTTAGAGCTTAAAATTATTTTTTGTTAATTCAATACATTTAGAGGTTGAGATGATCAATTGGAGGGTTTTCTAACTTTTGTACTAGATTGTTCAACTTATATAGTGTATAAGGTTGCAGCCAAGGTTTAAAAAACGGTGATCGGGATCATAACTGGTCGATACGAATAGGGGACCTGGAGATTGGCCCGCTTCCCCTAAAATATTCAGATTTGATTCCCTCTAGGAACCGCCCGATTTGCACTGAATCTCTAACGGAACTCAGAACTGGTTGGAGCCAATCCAACCTTTTCTTTTTATTTTCTTTTATGTTTTTCTTTAATTTTTTATTTTTTTTTATTGGCCGGTCCACTCAGCCTAATGTCGATCTAGACTGGATTTTGGGATTGATAATCCAGGTCAACCTTATATGAGCTTTTTCCTACACTAGAGGTCTGTTTGATAACAGGAAGTTAGGGGAGTAAGAAAGAACTTCCCCATTACGGTACAACTTCCGCGTTTGATGCACAAAACTTATACAGTAAAGAAGTTCCCCTTAGAACTTTCTTATTCCAGTGTGTTTATTTATATAATAGATATTTATAATATTTAAATAATGTTTGATATATAATATTTTAATAATACTAATAGAAATATGACTGTATATTCCAACCGGTTGTCAAACACATGTATCTAGAACTTCTTTAACATTTCAAAAGATTATAAAAAACAAACAGTCAAATTTTTTTACAGTACCTTCTTTCTTTCCAGCGTAACTTCTTTCTGTCCAGCAAAAAAAAAACACTTCCAATGTCCATAGGACATTGACCTATTATCAAAGAGGGCATAGATGTACATTAAAGATAACAAAAAAAAACTAAAGTAAAATGGAGCTGTTATCAAAGAGGCCATAGATGTAAATTAAAGCTAAGAAAAAAAAAACTGAAGTAAAATGGAGAGAGCAATTAAATTCCGAAGATACCTTTCAAAGTATTTACTTTCTCATGGCCCAACCCGTGAGGAGAGATAGCTCACTTAAATTCCCAGCAAGGAAAGATCAAATAATGAAGACCCCGTGATTTTCGCAACGGTAACCTTTAATGCTCAGGTGCACCGACTTTCATTCATTAACATTCTAAATTTTCAATTTTACCTTTCTTTTCTTGAGTTTTGACCGTAAAACTTCACATGTACTTTCAAAGTTTCAGTTCCTTGCCATTTCATAACTAAGCGCGCCCGAAATTTTGTTCTCACAACCAAAATTTTCAATGAATTTCGAACAATTTTCAGGAAAATTCCTTATGATTTTCTCACAGAGAAAGCGACCAAATCCTATGAACCAGTAAAAGACAATCTCTTCTTCACCCTTTCACCGCATGTTTGATTAGCAAACCTCTTCTCTCTGTCCATGTCATGGAGTTCCCCACTCCTCTGTTTTGGATAGCCCCTTTCTCTCTCTAACTCACCACTCTGTCTTGAATAATCTCTCTCTCTCTCTAGCTCCCCTGGCCTCTGTTTCGGAGCACTCTGAGATCTCATCTTTGCTTTAGAGGACTCGGTAACGGCCATATAATTTGGAATTGGTGTCAAGTTCAGATTACCATTGGCTCGAAACCTTGAACTTTCACGCCAAATCGGTGATTTTAATATTGAGGTCTTAACATTCTGTGAATTTCTTGAAGTTCTGCATCTTGGGCTCGGAGAATCGGTTGAAAACCTGTTCTTGAATGATAATGGTGAAACAGGGGATTGGGGACGAAACAAATGTTTGGTTTTTTGTGTAGGAGAGGTATGAAAGAGAGAGGAAGTGTTTTTTGTGGGTTTTGTTGGAGTTGTTGCAGAGGAATATGATCTAGGTGTGACAGAAGTGCCTGTATTTAGTGATGATTCATACATGTAATGGTCAAGTGAGTTCGTTCTCTCTCTAGGATATGGAATTTGATGAGTGATAACATGATGTTGAGCTTTACAAATTGGAGATTTGGGGGGTCTAGTCTGAGACCTTTTGGGTTTTGGGTTTGTACTTGCTGATGAATATGATCTCGGAGTGGCTGATTCTACTGTGTTTACTGATGATTCGTCCCTCTCACCATATAGAGATTTTTTCTCTCTGTACTCTGCTGCAATCCATCTTTCCAACTGGGTCGACCTCCAATTAAGCCTATCATGGCTGAATTCTTTGAAATCCTTCTCAAGAAAAAGAGTAGAAAATGAGTCAAAACCAAAGTTCATTTCAAATTTCAAGAGAGAGAAAGAGAGAACCTTATGAGGTGAGGCATAAGCTAGAGCCTTCTTTCCCCTGAAGGCAGCTTTCTGCTTGCTCTGATTAATTGATTGGATTTCCTCTGAACTCTTTATGTACTTCCATTGCCCTTCTCTATCCTTTGGCTGAAAAGGAAAGAATTCTCTTAAAATAAACAACCCAAATTGGTATCTCTATTTCATCTACTCTCATCAGAGAAAGAAACGGACTAACTTTTATATTGTTTCAATGGACAATCCTGAGAAGAGAGAAAAAACAGCTGGTTTTTCAGTAATCAGAATATTTCTAATGGACAATGTGATAGAAAACTTTTTACAGTACTTCTAACATAAAATTTGTAGAGAAAAACGGATACTGGAACAAAATGCTTCTTAATTCGTGTAACAATGTCACACTAGTCCCACAACATACAATCAAAGAGACAAAAGAAGAAAAAAATATTAAAAGAGACTAAAAGAGTACGACAAGATCAACCAAATAGATAAACTCGTAAAAGCAACTCATCGGGGAAAAAAAAAATATATATTCAACTCCTTCAAATTACTGAAAAAGAAGATAAAAGTACTAATCAGGGATACAAAGAAATCTTACATCGTGCATTCCATCGTCAATGGTTTGTCTGGAAACTCCGTTAATTCTGGTATTTAATCCACGATTTTCATCAAATTGTCTAAATCTTTCATGGAGGACCCTCTTTTGTGCTCGAACAAGAGCTTGCATACACTTCATGGTCTTATCAGCTCTCTTTCTAATATGCCGACCTCGAATCAAAGCCTGCACTTTCACAAGCCCTCTTAGGGCTTTAAGAGCTCTTCTAGCGAGAAAGCACCGAAAAGCTGTTTGTATTTTAATGGCTGCCTCATTCCGTCTCATGTTCTCATAAGGTCTAGAGAGGTGATGAATTTCCCAACCACCTTTTTCTTCTGCATTTTCAGTGGGTTCATTGAGATGAAATTCCGCAGTGGTCACTGAGGTATCGCGATGATCTTCACCCTCTTCCTTGTTTTGCAATCCTTTGCATGTGCCGCATAAAACCCATCTCATTTTCTCTCTCTTCTGTGTAAATCAAGAGAGAGAAAGATTTCAAAGTGAAGGTGTGAAGCACAGAGAAGAATGAAACTCGTAGACTACATGTAAAGAATCAAGAAGGTTTTCTCTAAACTTTTAGAGAGAGAAAACATAAACAGGAAGTTCATAGAAGAAATTGCAGAAAGGAGTAAATAGAGGTTGCATGATGAATGAAAGAATCATTTCATGGCTGCTGTTTTAGGTGATGAGAGAGAGGGAAAAGTGAGGGATTTTATGAGAGATGAAATGCAGGAAGAGGGACTTCTTGTTTCCCATGTTACATGTGATCACCATCATATGCACCCAAGCAAAGCAGACTCGTATTGATGAAAAATAAATAAAATAAATAAAAAATAATAATAATATATATATATATATATATATATATATATATATAC